ACTCAAAAAGTCTTTTCTGCAAAATTGAATTCCAAAAAAGTATTTTACAGTAGTTTGGAATAAATAAGAATTAAATTAACAGTCATTGGATGAAATACATGTATTCAAACTTGGGAATTGTGTTTGAATAATGTAACAGCTAAAATAAAGTATTTTACAGTAGTTTGGAATAAATAAGAATTAAATTAACAGTCATTGGATGAAATACATGTATTAAAACTTGGGAATTATGTTTGAATAACGTAACAAAATAAAGTATTTTACAGCAGTACTTTGTGTCCACTGTCATCTGTGCTAAAAACAAATTCAATGATAATTATGATAATTTAAGTGAATTTAAACTTAAAACTTAAATGACAGAAATATTTCTCCTATGTCTAATATAACAGCTGAAAATCGTAATGTCTTTTCACTTCTTCAAGTAAATTGAGATTTAATCTCCACAACAATCTCCACAGTAATAACCCTTTGCATGCCTTAAGTCAACTTTCGTCACCTTCCACAAAATGAACAGCATAATTTGTGTTCACATATTTCCCCAAATTTAGATAAAGATCTTTAGTCAATCTGAAATTATGCACATTTGGTACAAAGTTATCTAAGAAATAATAGAAAAGTGCACAAAAATGTTGAATCAAAATGTTGGCGTTCAAAAAGTTAATGATGACTACCCGGTACATCTGTAAATAGTAATGAACACAGTTCATCAAAAATGAGTGAAAAATGCCACTGACATCGTTTGACTATTAAAAAGTATACATAATTTATAAAAAAAATTGACACATCAATAAACGGAGCTTTTTTCTCATGTGCAGCTGAGCATTGCAAATTTGCATATATTTATTACTCTGTAGTATAGCATAGTCTTACGTAGGAAGCGAGTTATCATCAATCACAACAAACGTAATGAACCGCTAACGCTTGGAGGGGTTATTGAAATATATCAGCAGTGAGAGGCATTTCAATTTCAATTCAGACATATTTTCTGGGGAGAAAATCGTTACCGTCATTTATAATAAAATTTTAATAAAACGATTGACTCAGCGGGTGCGAGTTATCAATTTAGATAGCACTTAATTTACTAGTTTCACTGCGTTCAATTTGTGGAAAAGAAATCATTGGATAATATACTTGTAGGTAGGGTTGACAATACAGGTATGCATCCATATATTATAAGGTTATTACAAGAACACCACAAAGTTTGGATTCAGGCAGTACAGGATTGCATCCATATATTATAAGGTTATTACAAGAATACCACAAAGTATGAATTCAGGCAGTACAGGATTGCATCCATATATTATAAGGTTATTACAAGAACACCACAAAGTTTGGATTCAGGCAGTACAGGATTGCATCCATATATTATAAGGTTATTACAAGAACCCCACAAGGTTTGGATTCAGGCAGTACAGGATTGCATCCATATATTATAAGGTTATTACAAGAACACCACAAAGTTTGGATTCAGGCAGTACAGGATTGCATCCATATATTATAAGGTTATTACAAGAACACCACAAAGTTTGGATTCAGGCAGTACAGGATTGCATCCATATATTATAAGGTTATTACAAGAACACCAAAAAGTTTGGATTCAGGCAGTACAGGATTGCATCCATATACTGTAAAAAAAAAAGCAAGTTTTTAGCTCCGCTGTCGATTTGTCGAGCAGAGCTTATCATATGAGTGATTGTCAGTCGGAGTCCGTGTCAATGTTTTACTTTTTCAACTTATATATGTACCTTTGGTAGACCTCTCTCAGATTTGTTCATTTCATTATGATATCTTCAATTCTCTAATTTTGGTGAATATTTTTGTCATTTTTGGTAAAAAATGGTATTTTCAAACTCTTGTTAAAAACCACAAGTCAAATTGCTTTGATACTATACATATTGTTCATTTTCTAATGATATCTTCAGTTCTTTAATTGAAATGTGCATTGCTAACAGCGGAGTTATCTCAGCCGAGAGGCTGCTTTTGTACAAGTTTCTTAAGGGGATCTGTTTCACTCTATTTCATGTTAGTAGAATATTTTATCCCAAGAAAAGTGAATGAATCTGGGAACAAATACTCAAGAGCTGCGCTTATGTGTTACCGCTATGTATGTGGCTACACTAGACTTCTGCTTGTACACTAAACGGCAGTGCTGCATTTTGTGAGATGATTGGTTGAATTATTTATAAGTAAAATGTCAATCAGATGCTCATGAAAATACCACTGTGGTTTGAACTTGAATAGAAAACTGATCAAGCTTCTGAATGTTAACTTAATAGAGGTTGATATGGTCATCTTGTAAGTTGAAAAGTTGAAATCTCAGCAGAGTGTATGGCGAAGTGCCTAAAATCTAGTGTGCAAATTGTAGCTACCATATATAGCAGTGAAACGTAATGCAAGTCCTGAAAGGATAGGGTAAAATTGGATACATGATGGCCAACTGGTGGCCATTTTGTTTGTGAAAGTAAATGAACAAATATTTTGGTTCCCTCAATTAATACTATCTGAGATGATGTTTCACAAAATACATCACAAACAAAAAAAATGCTATTTTATGGTGGCATGGGAAAATATCTCCATAATTTTACATAATAAACCAATGAACATTGTCATGCAATTTATGACCAACTTTCTGAGTAGGCTTCTACCTCAAGGACTCTTGGAAATTACACTTCCATCACAAGCGTCTTTCAAAATACTAAAAATAAAGTTTGGATGGTCGTCGTTTTTTCATTCAAGAGGATGTGGTAATGCTTTTCGTAGGCACTGTTAATATTATAAATTATTATTATTATGATATTTTGTAGGTGAGAAAGAGCCATTCCCTGAGCAGGACGAAGCAGATGCAATACATGGAGCTCAAGAAATGGATCGTAGTGAGCTGGTTAAAACTCCATACGACAATCTCCCAAGCCCCGACTACCAGTCCATTCATGGTGGCTCTGATGATGAAAGCCCAAGTTCGAAATTGGGTTATCGTAATCTTCCTCCAATGAGAACGCCGCCACAGAAACCCGCCAGGCATTCCACCGCCTTGAACGCTAAGCTATTTACTGATGTGCCTGATAGAACTAGAACCGCATCGATGCCGGCCTCAGCGAGGAACATTAAGACAAATTCTGAACGTCGTATTGATAAAAACAAAACAAACGGTTCTCCGGGAACACAGCCAAACTCTGCACTTGTCAAATTGGAAATTGTGGAACCCCTGTATGACGAGATTCCTTCGCCTAACAAGCAGAAAGAAAGTGTTAATAGGAAGAATGATTCTGTTTTGGTGTTTACTGAAGTGCCTCCCTCGTCCAAGTCTTCAGGGGTTAAGTATGGTGCTACTGAGAAACCTCAGGAGAGGATACTGTCTGAAGGTAAACCTTTAAGTGCCAAAATTTTTCCAGTCTTTGTGTTTTATTTAGACATTATTTTTTTTGCCTACAGGTCTTTTGAAAAAACATGGATAAATTATTCACGTTTATTTTACGAGATGTGACACCCCCCAAAGGGTTAAATTATATTGAGGGCCTCGCTTAGAAATTTTCTATCACTTTTATGTTTCGGTTGAACAGTTCCCTTTGATTTCATCAATCATGACAACAATTTAGCACATCAGTAGTGCAAAGATTTGGTTGAATGGGTCTCATAAATTATTTTGTTCACATACTATAAGTTTAATACAAGAATACCACAAAGTATGAACTCAGGCAGTACAGGCTTGCATCCACATACTATAAGGTTAATACAAGAATACCACAAAGTATGAACTCAGGCAGTACAGGCTTGCATCCACATACTATAAGTTTAATACAAGAATACCACAAAGTATGAACTCAGGCAGTACATGCTTGCATCCACATACTATAAGTTTAATACAAGAATACCACAAAGTATGAACTCGACCAGTACAAATAAGAAAGACATTCAAATGCTTCCAGAACACTTTTGAACACATCTGTACGACATTTTGTAGATGGTGAATACTGTTGGTTTTGGTGTAAAATAAGAGGTGGTATTTTCATAGTAACTTCAGAGGATGATATCTTCATATTTCCAAATTGGACCACAGTGTTAACCAAAATCTAAACATGCTTATTTTCACAAAATTTCTCCAGTGAGTTTCTTTGTTTCTTGTTGAAATTCTGGGAAACTATATTCAAATATTCCAGATGGTTTTTAAAAAGAAATTACAACATTTTTCAGTGTGTGTTTTACAAGGGACAACACTGTTTTAGTCGATAGACTAAGAACAGACATGACAAATTCACCAGATTGGACAGATTATGTCACTAATGAAATAAAAATAATACCGGTAATATTTATTCACTTTTTACCTTGCCCGTACCATCAAAGATGGAAGGGAAAGGTATATTAAGGGAAAAATTTTGTCCGGCGTTGTCGTTGTTGTTGTTGTCGTTGTCGTTGTCGTCGTTAATGATTGTTATTGTGTGCATAATAACTTTACTAATTCTATTCCAAACTTCATCAAACTTGGTCACCTTATTCATCAGTATAAAGTCTTCCCTGAGTTTGAACAACAGATGTCCTGTACGAAAATATCATGCAAAAATTGAGAAAATCTGATAAAATATTTTGACTGTTTCTACTTGACTGATCACTGGTGATACACATCAAAGGTCACTGATCTCAGTGGAAATATGCATTGTTGTATGTGTTCAATGAAGCAAATGATTTATCTTGTAATAATATCCTTGGTAATGTATCTCAGAATCCCATACTGGGTTTCAAAACCAACTCAGGAGAGATTGCACAGTCTGATACAAACCTA